GTTTTAAAATATATTTTAAAACTTTTGGTTTAAAAATGATAAAAACTAAACAGCCTACAGTTTTTTACAGTCTTTATTTTACAGTTAAAATAAATGTTTATCAAATAAAGTCTAATGTTACAACTAATCATGGATCCCTTTATCGCTCCTGAATAAAAACAATATTCACATATATTATTTATGAGCATAAATAGTGGCAGTAGCAGTGACAGCACTCTAAAGTAACTTCTTGCATTTAATTGTATTTCTGCCAAAATAACAATAAAATACTTTATAAGTCTGTGATCGTAAGGTTGCTAGTTCAAATCCCGATTGTTACGTCAAAAGTTTGGGTGGGAGAGGTGAGGCACCCACATGTTCCTCCACCCTTTTCTGGCCCACTCAGGACCTTACCTTAATACCCCCCTAGGTAAGGGCTTTCAGCATAAAAAAATAACAATTACCAAACATTTGTGACCAAAAAAGAATAAAATAAAATAAAATTAGAGATAGTATAAAGGTTTATAAATTATTGTTTGCACAAACAGCAAGTTGCTTTAGGTCTGCATCAGCAACAGGTGAGATATTCATTCTTCACAATCTCTCAGCTGAACACCATGTCAGAAGATCTGAATCAGTCATTTCGCTCCAAAAGAAGAAGGAACAGAAACACGTTGAAAAGTTTCTGTTATGAATTAGTCTCAGTTTAACGTCAGACACTGGAAACAGAAAAAGTTTTAAAGAAAAAAGAGTTTGTATCAATTTATATTTTATATTTAACTTGTTTTTGCTTTTCACATTTTGATGCAAGGCACTTTCATTTCAACGTGCCGTGAAATATAAGTGCATCTTGTTTATGTGCCTCTGCTGCAGTATATTGTGTCACACTGCTGGTATAGCACAGTGTGTGTGTGTGTGCACTTTCATATGTGTAGATAGTGTTGCACAGTGGAAGATAAAAGCACAATAGGAAGCATGCACTGTGTCGGGATCTGGTTGCAGCGGTTCGTGCACCTAAAGGCAGCTGTGTTCGACTCATCAGGGAGTTGATTTGCTATTTTTAGCGAGTGTTGCAGGTATCGTTGCATCAGTGTTAAAATCCTGTGCTGCTGGCATGTGGGTGTTTATGTGCAGAACGACAAAAACACCACAACGTTAAAGGAAACTGCAACACAGAGGAGTTTTATTATAAAGCTTTTATTTTGAAAACATAATTCAGGTTCTTTGTGTGGCTGGAATTATAAGAGAAGTCATGAGCTGTTTAATGATGTTTTTAAAAAGGTTACTGTTGGCATATTTTGTAGCTCAGAGAAATTTATATTTCAGTAAATGGATAATGGACCTTTAACAAAACAAAAAAAAGTATAAATTGTTGGTGGAGTGGTTAAAAAAGACGGCATGTTTGGAGTTGAAGGCTTCTACGACGCGCTCGCATTAGAGCCAGTCTTGCTCTCGCTGAGGCTGTTGGCCACGTAGCCAATCAGGTTGAGGTATTCCTTAAAGCCCACCTTCCCGTCTTCGTTCTCATCCAGACCCTCCTGCATCTCCTTAATGGCCGAGCTGCTGTTTGTGTCCTGGACAGAAAGAAGCAGATCAGAACCAAGGAAAAGGACGACGTTGCGGTTAAACAACCTAAAATATTAATGAATTACTTGTGTTAGACTATAAC